ATATAATTTTTAAGAAAAAATTTTAAAATTATGTTTGCTTTAAAATTTTTGAATTTTTTTTCTAAAATAATTATATTTTTTTTCTAAAATAATTATATTTTTTTTATACATTAATCAATTACTTTTTCTCTTCCTTCTTTCTTTCTCAATTACTTTTTTCTTACACATATCTAAAATAAAATATTAAATTATTCTAAACTCCAAAATTATTTTTAAAATATATAATCAAACAAATTAAAAAAAAATTCTAAATTCTCTCTCTAAATTTTTTTTAAAATTTATCTCAAAACATAAACCAAACACAGCCGCATGTTTCACTTGAAATTACTTTTCAGCCCCATTTTGTATGCAAAATTTTGTTTTATTTGTCATTTATATAGATGCTTTTGTACTTTGGCCACCTCTATGAGGTCTACATTATTGACTATTTCATTGCCTAAATGCTACTAGCCATCACCATCACACTTCATTGAGCAGACAAAGATCTTTTCTGTGCATCAAAGTCACAACTCATGGTCATTTGTAGTATTTAAAAAAGAAAAAAATCTGAATCTGGTCCACACTTATTCTAGTAAGATTCGGTGAGATCTCTCCCTCCTGGAAAGAAAACCATATCAACGTCAATCACGCCAAACAAGCCAAACAATAATTCATCATCAAGAGAAATTATTCATTGCCCAAGTGGCATATTTGTAGTCCCATTTGTACCTTTTTATATTTTTGCTTCCGTTTGGAAAGTAGGTTGGTTTTTTGACTTTTTAATTTTTTTAATTATTTTAATTTAGGGTTAAAAAGTCTGGTTTGAAAAGGATTTTTTGACTTTTTTGACTTTTTAGCTTTTTAGTGAGGTGTCTTCCTGTCAAATTGCCAAACTGCCCTTTTTGTCTTTTTTTTTAATTTTTTATTTTGGGTTTAGATTTGGCATATTTTGCTTCTTTTTTTTTTTCGGTTTGGATTTGGCATATTTTGATTTTTTTTATTATTATTATTTTTTTATGTTGGGTTTCGATTTGGCGTATTTTGCTTAAATTTTTTTTTCGGTATCGATATGGCATTTTTTGCTTAATTTTTATTTTTTTATTTTTCATGTTGGGTTTCGATCTGGCGAATTTTGCTTTAATTTTTTAATTTTTTTTTATTTATTTTGACTTTGGATTTGGCATATTTTGTTTTAATTTTTTTTTCTTTTAATTTTTTTATTTTGGGTTTGGATTTTTCGTATTTTGCTTATCTTTTTTTTTTCTATTACTTTTTTTTTATTATTTTGAGTTTGGATTTGGCGTATTGTGCTTAAATTTTTTGAATTTTTTTTTTTAAATTTATGTTTTTGTCTTTTTTTGTTTTTTTTTTACATTAATTAGTTCTTGTTCTTTATTTTTATTTGTATACAATAACTTTTTTTTATTTATGTGTTTCATTTATTTGTAAATTACGTCGCGAATGGTAATTTCTGAATTTAATGATAACATTTTCCATAAATCTGAAAAATCCGAAAAAAAGAAATGGAACAGACCATAAACAAAATCATGAAATTCAATTTGAAAAAAAGAAAAAATCATGACTAAAAAATGATAACATTTCCCATAAATCAAAGAGAAGATCTGAATTTTCAGTCCATAAACAGGACAAATCCGAATGGTTTCAAAATAAAGAATGACAACATTTCCCATAAATCGACATATACGGGAGTGAAGAATGAAATAGGTCGACCCAATAAATGGAACAGATCATGGATGGAGGGTAATTTCGGAGATCAATTTTAGTATAAATAAACAAAACACATGTGTTGAACCAGTTTTTTTTTGTAAGATCTAAACAATACAGTTCGATTATCTCAGATGCCAAACAAAAAAATAACATCCACAGTCCGAAATTTCCGTTTGTACTCAAACACAACAGATCGGGGTTGAAGGAGATAAAAACAACCGAAGACAAAAACAAAAACAAAAAAAAAAAACTGTGTACTTGAGGATTGGTAGTGCCGACGAGGCGATGGTTGCAGTATCGCCGCCGATGTGCAATCCGGTGGGCTTGGGCTATGGACAGCGTCACTTATTGTTCTTCTTCGCCGACGGTAGTCTCTGATTTTCGCCCTCCTTCTTCGAAACATAAAGCCCTAGGTGAGGAAAAGAACTTGTCTTGGTTTCGTGTTGCTCTACCTATTGGGAAGGGGGTAGTTTGGTAATTTAGACAGACCCTCAACCACACCACAGGCACGTGCCTTCTTTTTGGATGTTTGTGGCTACTTTAGCCTCTTTTGGACGTTTGTGGCTAATTTAGCCCAAACTTGTCTTGCCAAACACAGGCTTAAATTTAAGTTGAAAAATCTATTTTGCTATTTTAGCTAACCACTATATGTATCAAACTCTCTATTTTAATTCATTCTTATTAAAATATTTGTTATTCTACTTTTTATAATTAAATTGATGTAAAAAAATAATTCCTCTTTTAAAAAATAATACAAAAATAAAGAAAAATTTAATATATTAATATGATTTTTTTAATAAAAAATAATTTTTAAGAGAATTTTACTTTAAAATAAAATTTATATTGAGTGCATTAGGCAGAAATTTTTTTATATTATTACCCTTATATTATCAATAATGCAATGTATATAGAATTGTAATACAAAAAATATTTTAAAAATTAAATTGAAATCCAGTGTATCATCACTCTTTGTATTATTTATAATGTCGAGTGCAACGAATTCTAATAATAAATATATTTTATATAGCAGTTTTGTTTGAAAATAAAATTATTAAAATAATATTCAATGTGTTTGATTTGAGTTTTCTAGAATAAGTTTTTTGAAAATTGAGTTTTTTAGTTTTCATATTCTTTTGTTTTAGTGAATATTTTTTAAATTTTAAATATTTTTTTTTACTTTTTTAGATACACCTTAGTTAGATGTATCTAAAAAGTAAAAAATTTGTGAAAAAATATTTTTAAAAATTAATAAATACATAAAAATACAAAAAAAATGTATTGAATTCTTGTATTTATTTTGTATTTTTGGTATTTAGTGAATTTTTAAAAGTTTTTTTAACATTTTTTTTACTTTTTAGGTATATTTATGTCTAAAAAATAAAAAAAAAATTGCTAAAAATATTTTAAAATTTCAATAAAAACAAAAAAAAAAAAAACGAAAAATTAGAAAGTAGAATTTTCTGAAAAGTGTTTTCTGAAAAATGAAAACAAGCAAGCTGATTATCTTTATTATCCAAAATCTTAATTTTCCATTCCAAATCTAGTTGTCGCTCGCTATCGTAGTTGCGGGCCTCTCTGACGATCTGAACTATGTTACCTTTATCTCCATATCTAGAGAACCTCCTCCACCTCCGTTATTCTTTATTGTCATGATGCCTAACCTCTGCAGCCCCTATAGTCACGATCTCCACTACTGCGATTACGACATTCGCTCTTCATGTGATAGAGAAAGAGAAAAAAAAAAGAGAGATCTCGAGATGAAAGGGTTATGGTGATCGCGTCGATAGATGAAAAAAGGGTTGGAAAAGGGCATTTTGAAAGAGGACATTGGTGTTAGCAACTAGTGGCTAGTGGTAGGGGTGCAACTCGAGCAGGTTCGGTCGGGTTGGGAGGTTGTTCAAGCCCAATCCAAGTTGTGCTGAGCCCTGCCCAAGCCCGCCCAAGCCCGAATTGTAACCCGAGATTGTCTGCTCAAGTCCGACCCGAGTTAAACCTGAATTGCCCGAGTTGCCCGAATTGCCCGAGTTGTAAATGAATTTTTTTTTTTTTTGCAGCTACATTATTAAATTATTAAAATTTGACTCTATTTACAATTTTTTTATTTATAGAAAATCATTAATACCATCAAAATAAATAATTTATATAATGTAAGAGAGATATCACTATAGTAGTCCTTACAATTTATGAGTGAAAATAAAAAGAAAAAAAAGTAAGATTTTATGTTATTTATATATATAATATATATTCAATATAATTTAATAATATAAATTACTTTAATATCATGTAATGGCTAATAATTTATATGTATATTTAATATTTTTATATATCTATATATATATAATTCGGGCTTCGGGTTGCTTGGGTTGTTTGACGTCTTTGCCCAAGCCCGCCCAAATTTAATTTGGGCTTTTGAATTTTTGCCCAAACCCGTACCGAATTTGAAAATATTTTGTCCAAGTCCTAAAAAAATTCGGGCTGGGCTCGGGTTGCTCAGGTTGAGCCCGCCCAAGTTGCACCCCTAGCTAGTGGCTACAATGGTTTGAGAGTTAAGGTTTGAAATAGGAGATTAAGGCATTTTGAGAATAAAAGGTATCTAATGAGTGAAAATTAAAATTTCAAAATTGTTAAGTACTTGTTTGGGAATAGACTATTTTAATAATTTTTTGATTTTTTTATGAAAAGATATGCAGAAAAGTAGAAAGAGTGATGTGACAATTTATAGTGACTTTTTAACCAAAATGTTTAGTCTCCAGACGAGGCTAGTATGCTTATAAAGAAAAATATATTGATGGAAATAGAAGCTTCAAAGATTCCAAACTTAGCTTATAGCTTATGTTGGCATTGTTTGGAAAGAGGGTTGGGCTAAAATAGTCCACTAAAAGATAAAATAAACTAAAATAAAAGTGCTGTTATTAGCACTTGCCAAAATTCTTTGGACCCTCCATTTTATAAATTTTTTTATTACAATTATATACTAAAGTAAAATTACATTAAAAGACATTATTAAATGAAACACATACCTATCAAATAAGAACTAATACTTTACAATATTGGACACCCACCCCTCCACCCCCACCTCCAAGTCCAACTCCAACTATATGTATTCCATGTTTGTAAACCCTAGACCTATTACTTTTCATAACCAACCAACATAAACTTTAAATCTTTTATTTTTCATAATCATCTTAAATCCTAAATGTGCCATCTTCATCACCATCATCAACCCTATTGAACTTGAAAGTTTTGCTTCAAGTATTACGCATACTTCATCACTTATTTCACTGTGTAGAGCAATGCAGGATGAGGATAACAATTCTAGTGAGACCGGTGTTCCATTGGTAAGTTTATCTGTCTTGTATTAACATTCTCAGTCGTTTTCAGTCGTTCTTGTTTTGTTCGAGCTGTTCGGCACTGATTTGCCGACTGTTAGGATTATGTTTGGTAATACAGTACTGAACATAATCCTTTCATTCAATACATAGGTTCCAAACATTAATGCAGATAGTCAGTACTGTTCAACCGACTATCATCTTTATTTTCGGCACTGTTGAACTGAACAAAATCATTAGTTTAGGGACTATTGAAATGAACATCATTTTTTCAATTTTGAAATTACATTCACACGTATTTTCAAGGTGGTGCTTCGACTAGAGGCAGTAAGGTTGATTCAAAACTTGTAATGGATTACAGTAATGAATTTGTTACTCATGAGGTCAGTCTTTGATTGTTTTACAAATAATGTACCTTTTTTATGTGCAATAATTGGTTAGTTTAATTTATTTATTTCAGATATTTAAGAGTCGAGATGAGTTAATTCGATGGGCACGTCAAGTTAGAAGAAGAAATGGATTCGTTATTGTCGTGCAAAAATCAGATGGGGGTGGTATTCGAGATAGGAAGCCAAGACTTTGCTTAGCTTGTGAGAGGAGTGGATCTTATAGGAACACTCAAAAAAACAGCAGGCCTAGGAAAAAAAAAGCAAGACTGATTGGTACAAAAAAATGTGAATGCCCTTTTTTATTGAAGGGCAAAAAATTAGCCACAAATGATGATTGGATCTTGATAGTGGTTTGTGGTGTGCACAATCATCCTGCTGCAGAATATTTTGAGGGTCATTCTTATGCTGGAAGGTTGTCACATGAGGAAACCTCTTTGTTGGTAGACATGTCGAAGAGTATGGTACGACCGAGTGAGATATTAGTTATATTGAAACAACGTGATGATGCAAATGCTTCCACAATGAAGACAATTTACAATGCATGTCATAGGTATAAAGTTGCTGAGAAAGCTGGGAGATCTCAAATGCAACAACTATTAGGTCAATTAGCGGTGAACAAGTACATTGAGTGGCATAGGAGCTGTGTAGATACTGAGATAGTGATTGATTTGTTCTTTGCACATCCTACTAGTTTGAATTTGTTACATGCATTTCCAAAAGTATTCTTGATGGATTGTACTTATAAGACCAATCGATATCGGTTTCCCCTTCTGGAGATTGTAGGTGTGACATCGATAGACATGACCTTTTCAGTTGCATTTGCATACCTCCAGTATGAGAAGGAGGATAACTACACATGGGCACTTGGTCTTTTGCGTAGTGTCATGGATGAAAATACTTTTCCTTCTGTTATTGTCACAGATAGATAATTGGCCCTTATGAATGTTATATGTATGGTGTTTCCTGCAACTACAAATTTGTTGTGTAGATGGCATATTGGAAAAAATGTGCTTGCTAATTGCAAAAAGATGTTTGAGACAAAGGATAAATAGGAAATGTTTATAATGAGCTTGAATATGTTGGTTATGTCATTGTCTGAAGAAGTATACATACAACGACTGTTTTTGTTATATAGTGAGTTCAGTACTTATCAAGATGCACTTCATTATATTACCTCATCTTGGTTGGATACATACAAGTCGAAATTTGTGGCTGCTTGGATTGACACATTTATGCACTTTGGAAATTCTACAACATATAGGTAAATACGAACATTTAAATTCATTAGTTGCTTGGTTTTTTTATAACAGTTTAGTTTCATATATGGGGTTGAGAGTTCACATGCAAAACTTAAAAGATATCTTGGATCAAGTCAAGGAAATTTTGAGTCGAATTGGACAAGGACACACAATTTACTTGAGTTGCAACATAGTGAAATAAAATCATCATTTGAGAAAAGCAAGATAGTTGTGCAACATGATTTCAAACTTGCGCAGTTTAAGGAGCTTCGTGGTAATGTCTCAATTACTGCATTAGAGATTATATTGGCAGAGTCTAAACGAGTATATTCTGTTGGTATTGATATTATTGCATGTGGATGTGTCGTTCGACGTACTCATGGTTTGCCATTTGCACATGAGATAGCAAATTACATGAGGGAAAATTGGCCAATTCCCCTAATTTCAGTTTATTCATATTGGACTAAGCCTGATATGTTGAGTGCCCCACACACTGTAAGTAAAGAGTGGACTTGTACACCTGAGTTAGAATTGTTTGCCAAATGATTCGAGGAGATGGATCTAGATGTGAAGAGGTTTTTGTTACAGAAATTGAGGGAGTTAGCCAAACTTGATTGTACATTTTTGATTGAGCCAGAAGTGAAGTCTAATCCACGGGGTCGGCCAAAATTGAAGATTGAGACCTCCACTCGTCGTGAGCCATCTACGTTTGAAATAGTTGCTTCAGCACAAGATAGTTATTTACCCGGAGTCATTGCCAAGACGAGTGTAACAACAAAAAATGTGAAAACAAAGAAGACAGAAAAGGTACATGGTTTACTAGTGAGGTATGTAATTGTGTCATGTTGTCTATTTTATTGTCTAACATTGGCATTTTTCTGTGATAGGTTCACCGGCTTCGATCATTGAATCCAAATTGCTTTTTAGAGGCATTCCCTTCTGAATTGAGTCGATATATTAAATACGTTAAGGATATTGCAGCAGATGGCAATTGTGGGTTCCGAGCTATTGCTGGTTTGATGGGTTTTGGTGAAGAAAAATGGTTACAAGTGAGAAAAGATTTACTTAAAAAGTTGCATGCGCATAGTGACCACTGCAGGAAATTATTTGGATCACAAGAGAGAATCGATGACCTTACCAACATCTTGGCCTATTTTGAACCAAACCCTGGGTTGGACCATCTTATATCGTCTTTCTACCAAGTCGTTTTGGTCTATTTGTCTATGCAACAATGCTTGACATTCTTTCCTCTTAGGTCAATACCGACGTCTGTTGCCTCTCACAAGGAGATATGTATTGGCTTTGTCAACAACAACCATTTTGTTCAAGTATTGGTTTCTAATATTTTTGTACATTCTAATCATTATAACGACAAATTTCTTAATAACGACAATATTTTTGTACATTCTAATTTTTTCTTTTTTTCTTTTTTTTTTTGTAGCTCATTTTGGAGCCTGGTCATCCTATTCCATCCATAGCAACTAACTGGTGGAGGTACCATGACCCTTGTGCAGTAGGCTGGGAAGTTGCATACAGTTCCAGAGTACAATATTTCAAATCACTCATCAGTCTAGACGTAGCCACTATCGAAACAATAGACCTGGATAAGGACTAATGTCATACGAGTGAGCTAGGAAATAGAATTAGAATGGATTTAAGTTATGTAATTTTCTTTGTTAAACTAACTTAGTATGAAAAAGAGTGAATTGGAATGGATTTAAGTTATGTATTTTGAATGGATTTAATTCATGTTATTTTCTTTGTTCTAATGAATTGGAATGGTAAACAGTGAATTGAAATGAATATTATTTTCTGTGTTATACTAAATTGAAGTTGATGAAAAAAGTGAATTGGAATGGATTCAAGTTACACAATGATGAACAAATTTTGTTCGGACATACAGTCCTAACATGAGCACTATTGTTCGACAAAACAGCTCTGAACAAAATACATTTGTTCGGCTATACAATGGTGAAAGAATTGTTTTTATTCGGTTCTACAGTGCTGAAATGAGTAGGCCAGCAACTGTGAACGAGCCAGCAAGCATTTATGTTCGGCACTACAGTACTAAAAAACCCATATATGTTCGGCATTACAGTGCTAAACAAAGACTACCTGTTTGGCATTACAGTGCTGAATGAGTCATTTTGATTCGGTTTTATAGTGCTGAAGGAAGAGGATTTGTTCAGTTAGTCAGTGATGAACATAAAATTCATGTTTATTCATTAGTCTAGATTTGTTTATTCAGTGATGACCATAAAGCAATAAACAAACCAATATTTCAAACAAACAAACTATCAAACCAATTCCAAACCATCAAACCAATTCTAAACCATCAAACTAATTCATTGAGTGCCCAAAAAGGTATGGTAAAGTCATATACAAGCCTAGCTCATACTTGTGTCATCTACAAACCACCATCAAATTGTATGCCAAAAATTTTTCTCAGACAAACTAACATATACTAAAGTGTTATCTGGCCTTTGTTATACTAGGCTAACACCATCAAAAAGTCTAACATATGTTTGAGACTAAGATTTCAAAATATACATTTAAAACATTTGAACCCAACAAATACTAAAGTCTAAAACGTTGCTCCACGATTCCTGCGACGAGTGTACACCAAGTTCTCTGATGGTGTATGTTCTTCAGTGGATTGTTGGCCCTCCAAGACTTGTGTTATCTTCTTCATAGCATTGCGTAACATATCTCAGGTGGGAGCTGCTTCATTGTATCCGATTTCGAGCATTGAACGTGAAATGCTTAAGGCACTGTCAATGCGCAGCAAATAATAAAATAAAACTTAACAATTGCCTTAAACAAAATATATATGAAAATGAAAATGGTAAAAATTGACATACGAATTGAAGCTGACGATAATCAGTTAATGTCTCAGTGCGTGGGTTATACTTAGAACGATGTGTCAGGGTTTTGAACTTGCACATGTGAAATGGAAGTAAACAGTCCAAGTAACCTGGCACACAATCCCATGGATGCAAGATTAGAACACTACGCGCTGTCTCAGGCAACAAGTGATTTTCCTAACTCTTCCAAATCGTATCCAAATATTTATAGGCAATGTTGTACTGTTTTGCAGTGGATCCTCTAGAGGCTCGAACCGGAGCAAACAGAGGTAAGGGAATAATTTTCACCCTACCAAATTGTCTCAGCACCCTATCTGGATGGTATGGTTCAATAATGTGCATATATTTTAAGCATCCACTATAGTAAGCAACATCAAAAAAAGAATGCTCAATACGCTTATCATGGTATAGATCCCAAATAACCTACAATAGTAAAAATTTTATATATAAGTTATGAATTAGGTTGAATAATAACAAGTAATATGTACATACATTGACCTAAGATTGACACTTACGCCATGGGCCTCTAATCTGTCGAGGTCCTCTCGTAACCTTTGTAAAATAGATGTTGACGAACCAGATTGGGTACGAGAAATCCAATGAAAGACATGAGGTTGATCTTCTTTGTAGTCCAAATTGGGATGGGTTCTAGCACTAACAAAATGCTCGTAAATCCGAGCTTCCAGCAATGTCATGTATCCCGCCATCTGTTTCACGGCATACCTTGTGGCAGTACCTAATTGCTGGTATAAAAAAGCCAATGCGGCTGCACCCTAAGCATAAAAAACAACCGATCGCAAATCCATAAGAAAAGACAAATGCACTACCGGAACACGTGTGCCAGTCTTGTCTACAAATAAGGTACAACCTAACAAATATAACAAATATGCCCTAGCTACACACTCAATGGTATTATCATTGTCCGCATCAGACATTGACCGAAACCGTTGTCTCAACCATTCTACCTTTATAGACTGGCCCTGTGCTACCTTCAACGCTACATTTGCCTCATCTATTGTTACTCCCAAAGCCTCAGCTAGCATATTTGCAGCGTCAACATTTAATAACTTCTTGCAAGAGACTGATTTACCAATCACTAGAATCCCTAGAATTGCATTAAAATCATCTAAGGTTGGTGACATCTCACCAAATGGTAGATGAAACGTATTTGCCTCTGGCTGCCATCTTTCCACAAAGGCTGAAACTACAACTTTGTTTACAAATTTATATGAGTAACTGACTAAAGAAATCAACCTCGAATCCATAATTAAACCATGAAATTTGGACTGTTCATTCTCTTCCAAGTTGAATGACATTCACTAACTTTAAAACCATGATTTAAGCATTTAAGTATTCCACGTTCCTGCAACATAGAATAAAAAAAAGAAAAAAGAAAAAGAAAAAATTAGTAAAGTTGAAACAAAATTTAAAACATTAAATTAATGTAAGGCAATGACTTACATCATTATGCCAAATTTTTGCTGCTACGTGACAATGAAAACTCTTCAAAATTGAAGGATCATATGGCCCTCCAGGAAAAGGTCCAATAAGATCTTCATTAACTTTTTTAGTTGTATCTGTTTGCTAGTCTTCATAGTCACCCATATCTGTTGGTTCATCACCCGTGTCATCACCTATGCCTATTGGTTTATCACCCATATCTATTGGTTCATCACCCAAATCATCACCCATGTCACTCACATTCAATTGATTGCTCCCATCATTTTCAACCTCAACCGTTTTTGCTAGAGCAACACCTATGTCATTCATTTCATGTTCATTAACTCCATTACCTTGATCCTTAGCCTGACGAGTGCACCGAGGTCTCTTAGCCACTTTTTGAGAAAGTACAACATTACGTCTCCTAGACTCTATTGGGCGATCTCAAGCAGTTGCCACCATAGCTGTCCACCAAGTACAATTAAATGTTAGTCAATGATAATGTAGGCAAATATATCCAATGTCAATTACCCTTAATAATATAGTCAGTCCTTCTTATGTATCGAAAATGCATGTCATCTAGGGACATTATATATATAACTTATAAGCCATTGAAGCCTATCTTAAATAGGTGTGTCATGACCAATGAGGCAAAAACACATGCATGGTCAAAAGTATATATACATGTATTTTTATGTATGTAGATATCAATTAGAGGCAGCTTTAGAAAAGATACAAATTCAAATAGGAAACAACAAACTAAGATAGTTTCTTACCAAACACAAAATGAATAAACAATAAAAAGAAATTACTAAAAATAAGATATTTGAATTGGACCAAATTACTAAAAATAAGATATTTGAGCAAGGCCATTAAAAACAAAAAATTTGAGCCTAAACAATGGAATTTGGTATTAAAAACAAAAAATGCTTAGTACACAACAAAAGTTGTGTGTTTTGCTTCTTAGGACATTTCACATTGATTATAAGTACTTAAAGAAAATTCAACATTGGCTCAAAGCCTATAGTTGCAATATAATCACATGCATCTCCAAGTTGATATAATATGCTAAAATTGGCACTATTTTCAAACAACCCACCTACCTCTTGTTAGGTTTATGAGGTGTATTGTGCTAATTAGAATTAGTTTATGTAGAAGACAGCTAGTACAAGTATTGTGTGATTATGTGGCTATAAGTTGATGTATGAAAATACATGGAAAAGAAGCTAAAAATGTGAATTAAATAATCTGGCTAGTTGTTACCCTATTTCCTGTTTTTTTTTTTTTTTTTTTTTTTTTGCAAAAAATTCAGATATAAATTTTTCATGTGGAAGAAAATTTAGATGTAATATATGTCTAAATTTTTATTTTCATTTTCTTACTTCTTACCCACCAAACAAATATAAACTTGGAATTTATAGGGTATAATATTACATAAGAAAGAACATAACTTTTTTTGCTCAAATAGGATACAATATTACAGGGTCAAATACCTTTTCTTTGTTGAAAATTTCTGGTTTGTCATTTACAACAAACAATGTATAACAAAAACTAACCTAACCTCACTACTAGTTAATGTTTACGTAATAAAAGAAACACAAAAGAAAAAAACAAAACAAAACAAAACAAAACAAAATTTTTTAAAAAAAATTATGAAAATAAAGTATTTCTAAAGATTATTATAGAAAACAGAGGCAAAACCAATGGCAATAACAATGCCTTATAACAACAGAAAAGAGACAATTTTATATTATATGTACAGTACAGAAATAAAAACCTCACACTTAAAAAAGCAACTGGTCCCAACACTCCAAGACAAAGGATTAGCCAAGCAAATTTTCTAAAAGACAAAGGGTTTTAATATATATATTTTTTAATTTTATTTATAGTTGGTATGTAGACTTCTATTACATTATAATATTCAAGCCATCCATTAGATTATAATATTCAGACCTCTATTCCTAAAAAAATTTGAATTTTATGTGGAATCAGGACATCCATTACATTATAATATTCTCCCACAATTAGGATTTTGTGTGGTTGTAAACAAATTATAATATCCATTTTTAAAACCCTTATAGATTTTTTTTCTTTACACCTATTCCTTTTTAATTACTCCGATGTTATATTACCAAACAAATTATATTTATCCAGTCATCTGTTATCGCACGTTTACAAATTTACTTTTCTTAAAACATCATTTTTTTTCTAAATTTATGAGGTGTCATAATGCTGAACAAACTAGATTTGTCCATTCATCCGTTGCTGAACGTTTACAGATTCACTTTTCTTAAAACATCAAGCATCCATAAAGACATTAAGGGTTCATTTGGGAAGTGGGTTGGTTTTTTAGCTTTTTGGCTATTTTAGCCTAGGGGCTAAAAAGCCTCGATTGGAAAGGACTTTTTAGCTTTTTTGACTTTTTGTGAGAGGAAAAGTATGTAATGATTATAAGTTGGATATGATGTTTTGTCTAACTGGGCTACAATAGCCTATTTTGTCTTATATGGCTATTTTAGCCCAAACCTTCCTTCCCAAACGGAGGCTAAGTATACAAACATCCATAAAAACATTCATAAAATTTGTCAATATAGATATCTTTAAATTTGTCAATACAAACATCTATAAAAACATACTGATATGTTATCACAATCCATCTATGTTGATAGTTTTAATAGTTACTATATCAGAGCTGACAAACGTACAAAATTGATCATTACGGGCAATATATGCTTACTCCTATCTATTAGTATACGGGTGATAAAAATGAATCCAATTACTTGTTTTCGAAGGTACTGGATGACTAGAAAGCATATAAATCTAACAAATCTCATCTGTAATGAATTTCTAGTCATACTACAATGAAAAAAAACATAATCCTTCAAAGTAGAAAAAAACAAAAATGTTAGAAAAATAAAATTGAAAATGTTTAGTAGTGAGTTACTGGACATGTATTTTTTGTTCTACAATATGTTACTGAACAAGTCTTTTTTGTTCATAGTGAGTTACCGGATATATTTTTTTTGTTTGATAGTGTGATTCTAGGTTATTTGATTTTGTTCAGTTCTGGTACACTAAAGAAAAGTTGAGCAGTCCTTCTAAAAAACAAAACCAAACATAAAAAAAACAAAGAAAAAAAATGCACCATTTCACTATTTTGCTTATCCTTTATCACATTTTATTCGTCCATTACTTTCTTTTATGACCAAAACACTATAATTCTTATTTTTGAAAGCAAATGTATAGTGTAGAAGAAGAAATGAGAAAGGAAGAAAAAAAGTAGGGATTGAAGTGTAATAGGTGTAAAGAGATAATCAAATCTATTTAATTTTTATCTTTTGTCCTTAAAGATAATTTCACACATGGGTAAAAAAAAAAAAAAAAACTCTCTCTAATGAAGAGTGTAAAGAGGTAAATGTGTTGTGTAAGTAGCATTTCGGGAAATTCTATTTCCACATACTTTTTTTATCTCTGTATACATAATTTCTCAATGCACACCCTTATGAAATTGGTTTTATGTTTTTGTTGTTAGTCCACACCTCACATGTTCTAATTATACCCTAAACTAACATCCTTGTACACATACTACTTAAATCATTTTGTTCCACAGAGAATCAATGGTGTTTTTTTATTCCACTAACCTTGAAAACACAGCAACATCTTTCACAAGAAATCCCTCAACAAATCGCTCCATGAATCTTCAGATTATACAACAAACTACCTTCTTTGATTTCCAGTTATTCCTTCAATCAACAATTTAGCCAACATCAAAAAAGTCATTAATTGACATCGACTTGTATCAACATAGATCTTGAAACAACATCGTTTTGTATCAAACTCCATTGAAGGCATACAACTCCATCTATCTCTTATTTTTCATAAACATTTTTTTTTCTAGAAGCAATTCGATTTTGTTTTTTCAGTACTGGTTATTCGAATGAAAAAGGTTTATTCGATTTTTAACTTCTAAAACATGTATAAAAATTCGGAACTTGGTTTTCGAAATAAATTCTTAAATTCAAAAGTTGAGTGGAACTTGATTTTCAAATAGAATTAATAATTTCGGAAGTTGATATATGAAAAAAGTAACATGTTTCAGCACTGATTTACCGAATTAAAATTGTGAAAAAAAAAATTTACACAAAAAAACTTACATTTTCATAACTGCTTTTGTTGTAACCAAGCATATTGTTATTTAAATTTGAATTTTCATTGATTTGCAACTCTTCCATCACAAAAATCAAGAATTATAGTGGATTCTAATGATAAAACGATGAATTCAATGAGTATAAACTTAGAGAGTAAAGTAATATGAGAGTATTGTTTTGCAAGCAATTGATGACTATAGAGTGTGTAGCAAACAATGGTCAATAGAATAAGTGAACAACAATGAAGGAAGTGAGAAACAATGGAGAAATTAGGGTTTAATTTTTTTACTATTTCAATACATGTAAAAAGCAATCATAAGTAATTAAAAAATCCTTCTCATCTCTATATATGTTTTCCCCCGAAACACATAGAACCTAGATTACACATGAATGATGAAGTTATGCAGGATCATGCCTTAATTATTATTCACAATAGCACAAGTCAATAAAAGCGATGCCTTCAGTAGAATCAATGTTCAACATTGCCCATCTGAACACTAAAAATACATAAACGAAATTGTGTTTCCTGGATGATTTCAGTAACCAATGCCCTTTACTAAAGGTGTTAATTCAAACATCTTGCATCTCACTTTCAAGAGAAAAATAATACCTATTAGAACTCTTTTGAGAAGAAGGAAATCATTTTTGAAATTATTGGACACCTTGCTAAAAGTTTT